GTACTGGAGCAAGCACAATACCCTGGGGGACTGAGCACTGGAGCAAGCACAGTACCCTGGGGGGACTGAGTACTGGAGCAAGCACAGTATTTTGGGGGACTGAGTACTGGAGCAAGCACAGTACTCTGGGGGACTGAGCACTGGAACAAGCACAGTACCCTGGGGGACTGAGTACTGGAGCAAGCACAGTACCCTGGGGGACTGAGTACTGGAGCAAGCACAGTACCCTGGGGGACTGAGCACTGGAGCAAGCACAGTACCCTGGGGGACTGAGCACTGGAACAAGCACAGTACCCTGGGGGACTGAGTACTGGAGCAAGCACAAAGCACAGTACCCTGGGGGACTGAGCACTGGAGCAAGCACAGTACCCTGGGGAACTGAGTACTGGAGCAAGCACAGTACCCTGGGGGGGGACTGAGTACTGGAGCAAGCACAGTACTCAGCGGGACTGAGTACTGGAGCAAGCACAGTACCCTGGGGGACTGAGCACTGGAGCAAGCACAGTACCCTGGGGGACTGAGACTGGAAGCAAGCACAGTACCCTGGGGGACTGAGTACTGGAGCAAGCACAAGCACAGTACCTGGGGGACTGAGCACTGGAGCAAGCACAGTACCCTGGGGGACTGAGCACTGGAGCAAGCACAGTACTCTGGGGGACTGAGCACTGGAACAAGCACAGTACCCTGGGGAACTGAGTACTGGAGCAAGCACACTACCCTGGGAGACTGAGTACTTGAACAAGCACAGTACCCTGGGGGACTGAGCACTGGAGCAAGCACAGTACCCTGGGGGACTGAGTACAAGCACAGTACCCTGGGGGACTGAGCACTGGAGCAAGCACAGTACCCTGGGGGACTGAGTACTGGAGCAAGCACAGTACCCTGGGGGACTGAGCACTGGAGCAAGCACAGTACCCTGGGGGACTGAGCATTGGAGCAAGCACAGTACCCTGGGGAACTGAGTACTGGAGCAAGCACAGTATCCTGGGGGACTGAGTACTGGAGCAAGCACAGTACCCTGGGGGACTGAGTACTGGAGCAAGCACAGTACCCTGGGGGACTGAGTACTGAAGCAAGCACAGTATCCTGGGGGACTGAGCACTGGAGCATGCACAGTACCCTAGGGGACTGAGTACCGCAGCAAGCACAGTACCCAGCGGGACTGAGTACTGGAGCAAGCACAGTACCCTGGGGGACTGAGTACTGGAACAAGCACAAAGCACAGTACCCTTGGGGACTGAGTATTGGAGCAAGCACAGTACCCTGGGGAACTCAGTACTGGAGCAAGCACGGTACCCTGGGAGACTGAGTACTTGAACAAGCACAGTACCCTGGGGGACTGAGCACTGGAGCAAGCACAGTACCCTGGGGGACTGAGTACTGGAGCAAGCACAGTACCCTGGGGGACTGAGCACTGGAGCAAGCACAGTACCCTGGGGGACTGAGTACTGGAGCAAGCACAGTACCCTGGGGAACTCAGTACTGGAGCAAGCACAGTACCCTTGGGGACTGAATACTGGAGCAAGCACAGTATCCTGGGGGACTGAGTATTGGAACAAGCACAGTACCCTGGGGGACTGAGTACTGGAGCAAGCACAGTATCCTTGGGGACTGAGTACTGGAGGAAGCACAGTACTCTGGGGGACTGAGTACTGGAGCAAGCACAGTACCCTGGGGAACTCAGTACTGGAGCAAGCACAGTACCCTTGGGGACTGAGTACTGGAGCAAGCACAGTACCCTTGGGGACTGAGTACTGGAGCAAGCACAGTATCCTGGGGGACTGAGTACTGGAGCAAGCACAGTACCCTGGGGGACTGAGTACTGGAGCAAGCACATTACCCTGGGGGACTGAGTACTGGAGCCAGCACAGTACCCTGGGGGACTGAGTACTGAAGCAAGCACAGTATCCTGGGGGACTGAGCACTGGAGCATGCACAGTACCCTAGGGGACTGAGTACCGCAGCAAGCACAGTACCCAGCGGGACTGAGTACTGGAGCAAGCACAGTACCCTGGGGGACTGAGTACTGGAACAAGCACAAAGCACAGTACCCTTGGGGACTGAGTATTGGAGCAAGCACAGTACCCTGGGGAACTCAGTACTGGAGCAAGCACAGTACCCTGGGAGACTGAGCACTTGAACAAGCACAGTACCCTGGGGGACTGAGCACTGGAGCAAGCACAGTACCCTGGGGGACTGAGCACTGGAGCAAGCACAGTACCCTGGGGGACTGAGCACTGGAGCAAGCACAGTACCCTGGGGGACTGAGTACTGGAGCAAGCACAGTACCCTGGGGAACTCAGTACTGGAGCAAGCACAGTACCCTGGGGGACTGAGTACTGGAGCAAGCACAGTATCCTTGGGGACTGAGTACTGGAGGAAGCACAGTACTCTGGGGGACTGAGTACTGGAGCAAGCACAGTACCCTGGGGAACTCAGTACTGGAGCAAGCACAGTACCCTTGGGGACTGAGTACTGGAGCAAGCACAGTACCCTTGGGGACTGAGTACTGGAGCAAGCACAGTATCCTGGGGGACTGAGTACTGGAGCAAGCACAGTATCCTTGGGGACTGAGTACTGGAGGAAGCACAGTACCCTGGGGGACTGAGTACTGGAGCAAGCACAGTGCCCTGGGGGACTGAGTACTGGAGGAAGCACAGTACTCTGGGGGACTGAGTACTGGAGCAAGCACAGTACCCTGGGGAACTCAGTACTGGAGCAAGCACAGTACCCTGGGGGACTGAGTACTGGAGCAAGCACAGTACCCTGGGGGACTGAGTACTGGAGCAAGCACAGTACCCTGGGGGACTGAGTACTGGAGCAAGCACAGTACCCTGGGGGACTGAGTACTGGAGCAAGCACAGTACCCTGGGGGACTGAGTACTGGAACAAGCACAGTACCCTGGGGGACTGAGTACTGGAGCAAGCACAGTACCCTGGGGGACTGAGTACTGGAGCAAGCACAGTACCCTGGGGGACTGAGTACTGGAGCAAGCACAGTACCCTGGGGGACTGAGTACTGGAGCAAGCACAGTACCCTGGGGGGGACTGAGTACTGGAGCAAGCACAGTACCCTGGGGGACTGAGTACTGGAGCAAGCACAGTACCCTGGGGGACTGAGTACTGGAGCAAGCACAGTACCCTGGGGGACTGAGTACTGGAGCAAGCACAGTACCCTGGGGGACTGAGTACTGGAGCAAGCACAGTACCCTGGGGGACTGAGCACTGGAACAAGCACAGTACCCTGGAGGACTGAGTACTGGAGCAAGCACAGTACCCTGGGGGACTGAGTACTGGAGCAAGCACAGTACCCTGGGGGACTGAGTACTGGAGCAAGCACAGTACCCTGGGGGACTGAGTACTGGAGCAAGCACAGTACCCTTGGGGATTGAGCTCTTCACGGTTGATTGTCCGGATATTATTTTGTTGACAATTACACATTGGGTTCTGTTAGTCAGGACCATCTGCCTGTTTTTTCCGGTAATTCATTTTGAACGCATTTTGTGTGCAATAACACACACTTGTCGAAGGCTTTTGCGAAATCTGTGTCAATTACGTCAACTGTTGTTGTTGTTTAAGATTCGCTACCAGGAACAAAAAGTTCCAAGTAGCACGGGCTATGGTGAGCCCGTAACTTACCTGGCACAGGAGCGGGGCAAGTAGCACGGGCTATGGTGAGCCCGTAACTTACCTGGCACAGGAGCGGGGCAAGTGCTATGGTGTAACTTACCTGGCACAGGAGCGGGGCAAGTAGCACGGGCTAAGACCTGGCACAGGAGCGGGGCAAGTAGCACGCTGAGCCCGTAACACCTGGCACAACAAGTAGCAAAGCCCGTAACTTACCTGGCACAGGAGCGGGGCAAGTAGCACGGGCTATGGTGAGCCCGTAACTTACCTGGCACAGGAGCGGGGCAAGTAGCACGGGCTATGGTGAGCCCGTAGGTTACTATTTCGTCAGCGTTTTGTTGGTCTTCCATGACATCTAATGCCATGCCATAGTGGTCCAGCAACTGTAATGGGCACTTAAGACAACTATGACAGGAACTGTGCTTGTCACAAGAGGAAGTACACTGTGCCTACCATGACCACAGGAGGAAGTACACTGTGCCTACCATGACCACAGGAGGAAGTACACTGTGCCTACAATGGCCACAGGAGGAAGTACACTGTGACTACCATGGCCACAGGAGGAAGTACACTGTGACTACCATGGCCACAGGAGGAAGTACACTGTGACTACCATGGCCACAGGAGGAAGTACACTGTGACTACCATGGCCACAGGAGGAAGTACACTGTGACTACCATGGCCACAGGAGGAAGTACACTGTGCCTACCATGACCACAGGAGGAAGTACACTGTGACTACCATGGCCACAGGAGGAAGTACACTGTGACTACCATGGCCACAGGAGGAAGTACACTGTGACTACCATGGCCACAGGAGGAAGTACACTGTGACTACCATGGCCACAGGAGGAAGTACACTGTGTCTACCATGGCCACAGGAGGAAGTACACTGTGCCACCCTTGACACTGTCATAGGGGGAAGTATACTGTGCCTACCCTTGACACAGGAGGAAGTACACTGTGTCTACCATGGCCACAGGAGGAAGTACACTGTGCCTACCCTTGACACAGGAGGAAGTACACTGTGCCACCCTTGACACTGTCATAGGGGGAAGTATACTGTGCCTACCCTTGACACAGGAGGAAGTACACTGTGCCACCCTTGACACTGTCATAGGGGGAAGTACACTGTGCCTACCCTTCACACAGGAGGAAGTACACTGTGCCACCCTTGACACTGTCATAGGGGGAAGTATACTGTGCCTACCCTTGACACAGGAGGAAGTACACTGTGCCACCCTTGACACTGTCATAGGGGGAAGTACACTGTGCCACCCTTGACACAGGAGGAAGAACACTGTGCCACCCTTGACACAGGAGGAAGAACACTGTGCCACCCTTGACACTGTCATAGGGGGAAGTACACTGTGCCTACCCTTGACACAGGAGGAAGAACACTGTGCCACCCTTGACACAGGAGGAAGAACACTGTGCCATCCTTGACACAGGAGGAAGTAGACTGTGCCACCCTTGACACAGGAGGAAGAACACTGTGCCACCCTTGACACAGGAGGAAGTAGACTGTGCCACCCTTGACACAGGAGGAAGTACACTGTGCCACCCTTGACACAGAAGACTGTGAGGAGTAGACTGTGCCACCCTTGACACAGGAGGAAGTACACTGTGCCACCCTTGACACAGGAGGAAGTAGACTGTGCCACCCTTGACACAGGAGGAAGTACACTGTGCCACCCTTGACACAGGAGGAAGTAACTGTGCCACCCTTGACACAGGAGGAAGTACACTGTGCCACCCTTGACACAGGAGGAAGTACACTGTGCCACCCTTGACACAGGAGGAAGTAGACTGTGCCACCCTTGACACAGGAGGAAGTACACTGTGCCACCCTTGACACAGGAGGAAGTAGACTGTGCCACCCTTGACACAGGAGGAAGTACACTGTGCCACCCTTGACACAGGAGGAAGTAGACTGTGCCACCCTTGACACAGGAGGAAGTACACTGTGCCACCCTTGACACAGGAGGAAGTAGACTGTGCCACCCTTGACACAGGAGGAAGTACACTGTGCCACCCTTGACACAGGAGGAAGTACACTGTGCCACCCTTGACACAGGAGGAAGTACACTGTGCCACCCTTGACACAGGAGGAAGTAGACTGTGCCACCCTTGACACAGGAGGAAGTACACTGTGCCACCCTTGACACAGGAGGAAGTACACTGTGCCACCCTTGACACAGGAGGAAGTACACTGTGCCACCCTTGACACAGGAGGAAGTACACTGTGCCACCCTTGACACAGGAGGAAGTACACTGTGCCACCCTTGACACAGGAGGAAGTAGACTGTGCCACCCTTGACACAGGAGGAAGTAGACTGTGCCACCCTTGACACAGGAGGAAGTACACTGTGCCACCCTTGACACAGGAGGAAGTATACTGTGCCACCCTTGACACAGGAGGAAGTAGAGGCAGCTGCCGCAGGTGAGGTGCACCACGGCAGCAGGACCAGTGGTGCTGAGTGGGGGCGTCCCACGCTGCCTCAGCATCATGAGGGATGCTGCACTGCTGGTCTCAGCGTCGTGGCTCATCTCCCAGTCTGTGGGTCATCTGGTAGTTGGTAACCTTACTTAGGCACCTGTCTGTTGGCCACAGACCGACACCAGCTCCCACAGCCTCCCACACTACACATGGGAACACATGCCTCCTCCCCCACTACACATGGGGACACATGCCTCCTCCCCCACTACACATGGGGACACATGCCTCCTCCCCCACTACACATGGGGACACATGCCTCCTCCCACACTACACATGGGGACACATGCCTCCTCCCACACTACACATGGGAACACATGCCTCCTCCCACACTACACATGGGGACACATGCCTCCTCCCACACTACACATGGGGACACATGCCTCCTCCCACACTACACATGGGGACACATGCCTCCTCCCACACTACACATGGGGACACATGCCTCCTCCCACACTACACATGGGGACACATGCCTCCTCCCCCACTACACATGGGGACACATGCCTCCTCCCCCACTACACATGGGGACACATGCCTCCTCCCACACTACACATGGGGACACATGCCTCCTCCCACACTACACATGGGGACACATGCCTCCTCCCACACTACACATGGGGACACATGCCTCCTCCCACACTACACATGGGGACACATGCCTCCTCCCACACTACACATGGGGACACATGCCTCCTCCCCCACTACACATGGGAACACATGCCTCCTCCCACACTACACATGGGGACACATGCCTCCTCCCCCACTACACATGGGGACACATGCCTCCTCCCACACTACACACGGGGACACATGCCTCCTCCCACACTACACATGGGGACACATGCCTCCTCCCACACTACACATGGGGACACATGCCTCCTCCCCCACTACACATGGGGACACATGCCTCCTCCCCCACTACAAACGGGGACACATGCCTCCTCCCACACTGTACACATGGGGGACACATGCCTCCTCCCCCACCCAGGGAGAGGGAGGGAGAGTGAGGGAGAGTGAGGGAGGGAGGGAGAGGGAGGGAGAGTGAGAGAGAGTGAGTGAGGGAGAGTGAGTGAGGGAGAGTGAGTGAGGGAGAGTGAGTGAGGGAGAGTGAGTGAGGGAGAGTGAGGGAGAGTGAGAGAGAGTGAGTGAGAGAGAGAGTGAGAGAGAGAGAGAGTGAGTGAGAGAGAGAGTGAGTGAGAGAGAGTGAGTGAGAGTGAGTGAGAGAGAGTGAGTGAGGGAGAGTGAGTGAGGGAGAGTGAGTGAGTGAGGGAGAGTGAGTGAGGGAGAGTGAGTGAGGGAGAGAGAGTGAGTGAGGGAGAGTGAGTGAGGGAGAGTGAGGGAGGGAGAGTGAGTGAGGGAGGGAGAGTGAGTGAGGGAGAGTGAGGGAGGGAGAGTGAGTGAGGGAGAGTGAGTGAGGGAGGGAGAGTGAGGGAGGGAGAGTGAGTGAGGGAGAGTGAGTGAGGGAGGGAGAGGGAGGGAGAGAGAGTGAGGGAGGGAGATTGACGGAGGGAGAGTGAGGGAGAGACAGTGAGTGAGAGAGGGAGAGGGAGGGAGGGAGAGGTGCACGGGTGGAGGTGTGACTCAGCTCTCACATGGTGCCAAGGGCCTCTCCCAGCCACACCCTACCCCTAACCTGCCACATTCTCAATCACTTGCTTAAGCGATATTCCAGGAGATGTTACACCCATATTGGTACTTTCTGGTGGTCCATCACTACGTATTGGTACTTTCTGGTGGTCCATCACTACGTATTGGTACTTTCTGGTGGTCCATCACTTCATATTGGTACTTTCTGGTGCTCCATTACTCCATATTGGTACTTTCTAGTGGTCCATCACTCCATATTGGTACTTTCTGGTTGTCCATCACTACGTATTGGTACTTTCTGGCGGTTCATCACTAGGTATTGGTACTTTCTGGCGGTTCATCTCTACATATTGGTACTTTCTGATGGTCCATCACTATATATTGGTACTTTCTAGTGGTCCATCACTCCATATTGGTACTTTCTGTTGGTCCATCACTCCATATTGGTACTTTCTGGTGGTCCATCACTCCATATTGGTACTTTCTAGTGGTCCATCACTATATATTGGTACTTTCTAGTGGTCCATCACTCCATATTGGTACTTTCTGGCGGTTCATCACTACGTATTGGTACTTTCTGGTGGTCCATCACTACATATTGGTACTTTCTGATGGTCCATCACTATATATTGGTACTTTCTGGTGGTTCATCACTACATATTGGTACTTTCTGGCGGTTCATCACTACATATTGGTACTTTCAGGTGGTCCATCACTACATATTGGTACTTTCTGATGGTCCATCACTATATATTGGTACTTTCTGGCGGTTCATCACTACATATTGGTAGTTTCTGGTGGTTCGTCACTATATATTGGTACTTTCTGGCGGTTCATCACTACATATTGGTACTTTCTGGTGGTCCATCACTATATATTGGTACTTTCTGGTGGTCCATCACTACATATTGGTACTTTCTGGTGTTCCATCACTTCATATTGGTACTTTCTGGTGGTCCATCACTGCATATTGGTATTTTCTGGTGGTCCATCAATACATATTGGTACTTTCTAGCGGTTCATCACTACATATTGGTACTTTATGGTGGTCCATCACTACATATTGGTACTTTCTGGTGGTCCATCACTACATATTGGTACTTTCTGGTGGTCCATCACTACATATTGGTACTTTCTGGTGGTCCATCACTACATATTGGTACTTTCTGGTGGTCCATCACTACATATTGGTACTTTCTGGTGGTCCATCACTACATATTATATTGTCCATCACTACATATTGGTACTTTCTGGCGGTTCATCACTACATATTGGTACTTTCTGGTGGTCCATCACTACATATTGGTACTTTCTGGTGGTCCATCACTACATATTGGTACTTTCTGGTGGTTCATCACTACATATTGGTACTTTCTGGTGGTCCATCACTACATATTGATACTTTCTGATGGTCCATCACTACATATTGGTACTTTCTGGTGGTCCATCACTACATATTGGTACTTTCTGGTGGTCCATCACTACATATTGGTACTTTCTGGTGGTCCATCACTACATATAGGTACTTTCTAGTGCTTAATCACTACATGCTGGTACTTTCTGGTGGTCCATCACTACATACTGGTACTTTCTGGTGATCCATCACTACATATTGGTACTTTCTAGCGGTTCATCACTACATATTGGTACTTTATTGTGGTCCATCACTGCATATTGGTACTTTCTGGTGGTCCATCACTACATATTGGTACTTTCTGGTGGTCCATCACTACATATTGGTACTTTCTGGCGGTTCATCACTACATATTGGTACTTTCTGGTGGTCACTACATTGGTACTGGTGGTCCATCACTACATATTGGTACTTTCTGGCGGTCCATCACTACATATTGGTACTTTCTTGTGGTCCATCACTACATATTGGTACTTTCTGGTGGTCCATCACTACATATTGGTACTTTCTGGTGGTCCATCACTACATATTGGTACTTTCTGGCGGTTCATCACTACATATAGGTACTTTCTGGTGGTCCATCACTACATATTGGTACTTTCTGGTGGTGCATCACTACATATTGGTACTTTCTGGTGGTCCATCACTACATATTGGTACTTTCTGGTGGTCCATCACTACATATTGGTACTTTCTGGTGGTCCATCACTATATATTGGTACTTTCTGGTGGTCCATCACTACATATTGATACTTTCTGGTGGTCCATCACTACATATTGGTACTTTCTGGCGGTTCTTCACTACATATTGGTACTTTCTGGTGGTCCATCACTACATATTGGTACTTTCTGGTGGTCCATCACTATATATTGGTACTTTCTGGTGGTCCATCACTACATATTGATACTTTCTGGTGGTCCATCACTACATATTGGTACTTTCTGGCGGTTCATCACTACATATTGGTACTTTCTGGTGGTCCATCACTACATACTGGTACTTTCTGGTGATCCATCACTGCGTATTGGTACTTTCTGGTGGTCCATCACTACATATAGGTACTTTCTAGTGCTTTATCACTTCATGCTGGTACTTTCTGGTTATCCATCACTACATACTGGTACTTTCTGGTGATCCATCACTGCGTATTGGTACTTTCTGGTGATCCATCACTGCATATTGGTACTTTCTGGTGGTCCATCACTACATATTGGTACTTTCTGGTGGTCCATCACTACATATTGGTACTTTCTGGTGGTCCATCACTACATACTTTCTGGTGGTCCATCACTACATATTGGTACTTTCTGGTGGTCCATCACTACATATTGGTACTTTTCTGATGGTCCATCACTACATATTGGTAGTTTCTGGTGGTCCTCACTACATATTGGTACTTTCTGGTGGTCCATCACTACATATTGGTACTTTCTGGTGGTGGTACTTTCTGGTGGTCCATCACTACATATTGGTACTTTCTGGTGGTCCATCACTACATATTGGTACTTTCTGGTGGTCCATCACTACATATTGGTACTTTCTGGTGGTCCATCACTACATATTGGTACTTTCTGGTGGTCCATCACTACATATTGGTAGTTTCTGGTGGTCCATCACTACATATTGGTACTTTCTGGTGGTCCATCACTACATATTGGTACTTTCTGCTGGTCCATCACTACATATTGGTAGTTTCTGGTGATCCATCACTACATATTGGTACTTTCTGGTGGTCCATCACTACATATTGGTACTTTCTGGTGATCCATCACTGCATATTGGTACTTTCTGGTGATCCATCACTGCATATTGGTAGTTTCTGGTGGTCCATCACTATATATTGGTACTTTCTGGTGGTCCCTCAATCCATATTGGTACTTTCTGGTGGTCCATCACTACACATTAGTACTGTCCAGCGAGTACTTCCTGTAAACACGAACATTTCAAGAGGATGAGCTGAACATGGTAACCTCACTACTGAAGATGTCACAGTGTCTACCGTGCAAGAGTTGAGTGAGATGTGTGGAAGTAACCGAGCTCACCGCAAG